GTTGCTGATCTACCCTGTCATGATGATGGAATGTCCAGTGGAAGGACTCTCCCTGGAAATAAACAGAACAGCAATGGTCACAACATCTAATCATAGTGGTGTACAAAATGACTAATAAACTGGTGGACATACCAACTACTAAGTATCTAATACCAGCACAGAAATGTACCAGAGTTATCCACTCAGATTTTTCCATTTATCCAGAGTGAACATGTTGTCACCAAGTACAGTAGGGGAATTTGATCTAAATAGAGAAGCTTTAACAAGTCCATATCTTAGAAGAATGTGGAAGAAAGACACAGCACTACTCACTTGGGCGAGACTGTACCACCTGCTGGAAGTATTTTGGTGAGATGAACCCTCTCTCATCACCTGGACTCAGGATCACGTTGTTGGCAGAACGGAAAAACTGCAGCCCATCTGCAAATATAACATCAATGGAAAGTCAATCATTTATGGAAAATGTACATTACGTATATAGTTACAGTATAATCCTTGTGGGAATGCTTTGCAACCCATAGCAAGCTTGTAGCAGCTAGAGAAGGGATGGCAAGATTGGGAATGAGTGGATCATAGATAACTACATTGTACTGCAATTGTCCCAGAAAAAATAATACTAGTAAATTCTTTGAAAAGAAAACAGAAAAAAACTGACATATCTTAGTCCAAAGAAGCCCCTGTAGTTTTTTTTATCTCTCTTTTTTAAAGGATAAAGAAGAGCATTCTTAAAGATGATGATAGCATAAGTAGACACAAAAGGAACAAACTTGGAAAAAACTTCCTCACCTCTCATGGCTGCATCAATATCAATGAAGACCAGAACTTGACATGTTCTTCTCATTCCTGGGTAGAATAGGACAAAAACAATGAGACAAAAACATTAGAAAAATATTAGCCGGCAAATTTCAGGATACAGTTTATGACAAATTCTTGTCTGTGTGAAATTGCAGACTTAAGGTTGGAATGAATGTTGTGAAAAAACAAACACAGTTCTGACCACTGATGACCCCGTCCTCCCCTGGTTCCCCAGGTGCAAAGTGGATGTGGTTCCTCTTCATCCTGGACAGACCCTGGGGACAAAAAGTCTTGATTAGTGGAGAACTACATGCCTAACTGAATACATCCAGCAAGCCTTCAAAACCAACTTAACATTCCCTGCCATCTCCTGGCACAGACACATATACTTCCCACCAACATACATGTAGTTCAGACTAAGAGGCCAGAAGTGGTCTTACAGCCTACCATTGAGCAGCTTGTTAATTTTTTTTACATGTCAAAACTGCAAATCAAGGTAATGTATTGAAAGTTGTAGATCCCTCTATTCAAGAACAACATTGATACAGC